CGAACCCGCGTCTCCTGCATCGGCAGGTGGACTCTCAAGCACTGCGCCACCAGGGAAGCCCCATTTTTATGAGTTTTGACAAAGGGAGAGAGTTGTATAATTGCCACCATAATCAAGATAAATAAAAGGTCCATCACCGCCCCCAGTTGCCCTCCGGCCCCCTGGTACCCTAACCCTCCCGCAGCCCAGTAACCACTGCTCTGTTCTCTGTTCCCATAGCTTTGCCTTTTCCAGAACATCATATAAACGGGATCATATAGGAGCTCTACAGACCTTTTTTTTAATGTCTAAAGAGAACTGATTGCATAAAATCAAGTGTATTCTTAGGTGAAAAGAAACTGTGCTTTGAATGCCAAACAGGGACTTAGTTATTAGCTCTTGTTTTCTATGAGAAGAAAATGATGAACCCTCCTAACATTACTATTCTTGGCTGTCATCTCAACCCTTCCGGGCTTCCCCCCAACACTGCCCCAGCATAGCCTTTTGAGTTTGGCTTTTTTCACTCAGCTTAATGCAGGTGAGATTCATCCACGCTGTTGCCTGGGTCAACGGTTCCTTCCTTTTTATCGTTGAGAACTACTCCATCATAAGGATGTGTAATGACTTGTTTATCCATTGCCCAGCAGAGGGACAAGGGAGTCATTTTGAACAGCTGAAATTCAGAGATAAAGTTTAGACGGTCTGGAACAGAGCTGGAGCTAGGCAGCCTTCAAGATTGTGGGAAATTTCAAAGAGTCGACATTTCTAGCAAGCTGCCGCTGGTTCAACTAAAAGAGGGAAATGGGCCTTTGGCTTGCTTTCTGGAGAACAGAATCCCCATTCTGTGGCCAACCCCTGCCACTTAGATAACCACGTGGCCGCTGCATTTGATGGGGGTGGGGAGGGCAACTCCATGTGGAGGGCTCCCAAACTGAGCTGGCAGGGAGACAAGGACAGAAGGTTGCCTTCCACCCTGAACTGGAGAGGGCAGGGCTTTGGAGCCAGGCACAGCTGGGTGGAAAGTCCCTGTATGATCACTTAGCTGCTGTGTGACATAGGGGAAATGTCTTAACGTCTCTGGGCTGCGACTTCCTTGTGTGTTAAAGGAGATAATATTACCTAGCCTGCAGGTACCATGAAATGATACGGTTCAAGAGCCCATACGGGGATGTCTGACATACAGCGGTGCTCGGAGAATAAATATTCTTTTCCTCTCTCCCTGGGGAGCTCCCCTACGGAGCCCAGGCACCGTTTTCTTACCGGACCCAACCTGGTACTTTACAAAGAGCGCCCCATTGAAGCCCACAACATCCTTGCAAAGTAGTTACTATTATTCCAATCTGAAGAGAAGTCAGACCAGTGTTTCTCAGTCTTGGCCACACATTAAGAATCATCCGGGAAATGGATGGGTGGATAAACAAAACGCGGTCCAGCCATACAATAGGATATTATTCAGCCATCATACCTGCTACAATGAGGGTAAACCTCAAACACACGATGCTCAGTGGAAGAATCCAGACACAGAAGGTTCCACATTGCACGGCCCCATTTATATGAC